GTCTCTCGCAGTGCTCATCCCATAGGCATGGGTGAGTTTTTGATTTTTTGTTTGCTCTCTGCTGGGGATTGACCCTAGGGCCTGGTGGGTGCTAGGTAAGCACTCTACCAAGTGAGCCCATCCCCAGCCTCTGTAAGGGTGTTATTGATAGAAATTCTTCCGGAGCTCTACTTGCTACAGAGAAATTTACTGCTTTCCAAAAAGGATGTGCTTTGCTATTGTGATTATCAAGGCAGTACATACCATGTTAACTTTTTAGACTGAGGGCTGGCAGCTCTCCTGGGAAGGTTCTGGGTCTGTGCATCATTGCCTTGCTTTGCTTATTCTTCTCTTGATGTTAATTCATCAGTCAGCTTGTTTGTTTAATGTCTTTATAACCCTTTAAAATGTAAAAGCTGGGGCTGGAGAGATGGCTCAGTGGTTAAGAATACTTATTGTTCTTGCAGAAGACCCAGATTCAAATCCCAGCACCCATATGGCAGCTAGCAACTCCAGTTCCAGGGGATCCGACAGCCTCTTCTGTCCTCTGAGGGCATTGCACGACATGGATGCACTTAGCTACAAGCAAGCAATACACATATAAAATTTTTAAATGTAAAAGCTGCTAGGCATGGTAGCACATGCCTTTAATCCCAGTCCTTGGGAGGCAGAGACAGGCAGATCTCTGTGAGATTGAGGCCAACCTGGTCTACATATTGAGTTCCAGGCCAACTGGGGCTATAAGGGAGACCAGATCTCAAGAAAAAAAAAAAAATGAAAGCCAGGCTAGTACTGTAGCTCAATAGTAGAGCCCTTTCCAGTATGCCCAAGACCCTGGGTTTAATCCTCTCTAAAAGGAAAAAAAGGGAAGGGAGAGGGGGAGGGGGGAGAGGGAGAGGGAGGCTGGGATGTAACTCAGTCGGTAGAGTGCTTGCCTGACATGCACAAAGCCCCGGGTCCATCCCCAGCTGCATAAATTGTGTGCTGTGATACACTGGGGAGGTGGATACAGGAAAATCAGAAGTTCAAGTCCAACCTTGATATGAGTTTGAGGCCAGCCTGGGCTACATGAGATCCTATCTCAAGAAAAAAAGGGAGGGAGAGAGGGAGGAAGAGGGTCAAAACCATTCTCAACCAAGTTGTGGTGGCCCAGGGTCCCCACATGCCAACCCTGAGCTAGGCAACCAAGAAGGTACAAAGAAGACCAGGGCCACTTCCCTCTAGAATGCCCATGGTCCACACCGGTGGGCTTCTCTCCAGACCCTCTCTGGGCCAGCCAAGATTCTCTCTCCCCACTGTCTCCATCCAACCACACTTGGGCTCCTGTTCTAAGTCCGGGTATGAACACCCCATCTGCAGACAGCTGGTGCCACCAGCAGCCTAATGTCTCTTGGGCCACATCCTTGCTCAGTTTATTCAGAGGGACCAACACGAGAACTGATGTTCAGCACCAGGTGAGCTGAGTCCATGGTGCGGCTCCCACGGGTGCTGCTCCTACAGCGGGCACAGAGACTTTCCGAGAGGGGCCTTTCCTACATATTTTCATCTGTCTCTGCGGCGAGGGCTGGAGGTGCAGCCCATGCTGAATGGCAGAGACCAGAGCCTGCCTTGACTCCAAAGGGGTCTCAGGGGTGATCCAGAGGAAGAGAATCCACATGATCAGGGCCCAGTGGGGGAGGGAAAGCAGCCCCTTAGTCCCAGAGCTGCTCTTCGACCTGTCACATGGATGCTGGTGCAGTGTAAAGGCCATTATGGCTCAGACATCCAAAGGCAGTGAAAGTGGAGCCCTACAACCAAACCTGAGTTCAGGAGCTTTCTGCATACATCCTGAGGTACCCAGGTGATTGACACACAGGGAGGCAGGGCTCCAACCTCCACTATAGCACACCACTGTGTCTCCACGGCTGCCCCGACTTTACATGGGTCTTTCCCCAGCCTAATGGGGAAGAGTCAAATGCACAGAAGCCAGGTACCTTGGTCAAGGTTCACTGTGGGAAGTGGGGAGCCCTAGACCCAGCATTGGCCCCTTTCTTATGGGCTGGGGTGCAGTGAAGGTTTTGTGGTCCTGGGTCAGAGCTGGAGCCCACACAGTAGAAGCTGAGGAATGAGGTCTCTTTGGTCCTCCTCCGTGCAGCCTGACCAAACTTTGGGGTGACACATAGTGGGTGAGCCAATCTGTCAGGGACATGATGGAGAAGGGGCATTGGGGCCAGACACGGGACAAAGCCACCATCGGTCAAGAAAGGTGCCTGTCCTTTCTGTGGTTGTGGCTCTGGGCTTGCTGAAGTCGTCCTCTCCTCTTGGTTCCTGCCGCTCCCTGGTCCAGATCCTTTCCCTGCCTCCCCTGGACCACTGTGATAGCTTCCATGTGGGCTTCCTGCCATCTGCCTTCTCCCATTCATCCAGTCTCCCCAGCCTGCTGCAAACATTACTGCCTTAAAAATGTAGCCCAGCCAAGCCACTCTCAGCTTCAAACCCTCCTGTGGCTCCAGTGTCCTGGTCTGAGCCCAGGTGTGTAGCATAGGGCCTCCACTGTTCAGCCCTGCTCCCTACTCAATCTCCCTCTCTTGCTCCCTGACTGTGTCTCCAGGCCTTTGCATATGCTGTTCCCTGTGATTGACCGGCCCCCTTTCTATCTTTGTTGCCTTCTAATATACCATTCAAGACTCATTCAAGCATCCCCTTTCTAAGAGCCCACCCAGACTCTCAGCAGTGGAAGGGCTCCCTCCCCTGAGCACAGTGTGATTTGGAAAGCGTTCGGTGCTTGGGAATCCCTATGCACTCCTCCTGGCCCAGCAGAACTGGGTCTCCTTCATCTTATTTACTGGTACCCACACAGAGTTCAGCTCAAATTTAGCCCTCAGCCCCCAGGGATGGGATAAAGACCTCAAGGAAAGAAACCAGGCCAGCAGACAGGCAGGTACCTGCCTCCGCTCACTGACCTGTCCAGGGTTCCAGCCCACATACCAGCCCAGGTGGAGCTGCCAGCGGGAACCCAACAAGCCAGGCAAGAAGGTGCTTGTCTGAGACCCAAGCCAAGGGTGATCTCACTATTGAGTCAGCCTCCCAAACATGAAGGGTGGGGGGCAGGGGTCCACCCTTCCAGGAGGGGTGGCACCCTAGGACTCTTAACAAGCAAGGTGCATGCTTGGGGGCCAAAGAGCGAGGCGGGTGAGTCAGGGTAGGGCAACGCCTTGCCCTTAGAAGGGAAGCCATCATCCTCTCACCTGGCTCTCCTGAGCATCACTTATAAAGAGGAAAAATACACAGCCACGGGAGGGAGAGGGCCAGAGCCTGGAGCTGGCCCTGCTCCTTGGAGACAATTAATGCTCATTCGGAAAGAATGAGCTGACACCGTCCCCGGCCAAGCCAAAACACAAGAGCCCCAGGTGTGTGCCAGGTAGAGTGCCAGGACTCAGTCTGCCCCTCCCCACAGCTCTGTGTTCGGGATTCAGCCCACCCCTCCCACAGCGCTGTGCCCAGAACCCAGGCCACCCCTTCCCACAGCTCTGTGTTCAGGACTCAGCCTACCCCCGTGCCACAGTGCTGTGCCCAGGACCCTGCTCCGCCCCTGCCCATCAGGCCCTGCCTATCTCTGTTGGGAACTGGGATAATGCTGAGGCCCTGATACCTCCAGGAGGATTTGAGCTGTGCCGTCCTCCAAGATCCTGGAACTGGATGGGGACAAGATGGTAGCTCTTCTTCAAGCCTGCAGAGCTCTAGCTTACCGCATGCTCGCATAACTCCGAACTTCCCCAGGCCACAGAAGAGCCACAAGGTGGCTGACAGGGACCTGAAAGCTTGCGAGGCAAAGCAGAGCAGAGCCTGAGCTGTGACTGCCTTGAATGAGGGGCAATGCCAGAAAGGAGAGTGTGGGCACCACAGCCCCCTCGGGGATGGTTGTCATTCTCAGGAGTTGGCAGGACCCCCTCCCCAGGACCCACACACAGGATCCCCATATAGGACCCCCACACAGGCCCCTGGAGAGGATGAAGAGGGATGAGAAGGAGCAACAGAATTGTGGCCATTGGTGGCGGCTGGTCATCACCCAGTTGGGAGTGAGTCAGTCTGCTTTCTAAGCCACCTTGGGGACCTCCAGTCCCCAAAGCAGTACAAAGTCTGCCCACTGTCAAGTCCTGAGAGTTCACTCTGCCAGACAGTTCCCAGGGAGCCAGGGTAGAGCAGGTGTCTGTTAACAGCCATAGTGCTGAGCCAAAGAAAAAGAAGCCCATCCTCAAGGCCCATGTGAGGGATGTGTCTATGTAAGAAAGGCTGATGGAGTTCCAATCCCCAGACCCCCAGAGTAGCCCGAGGTGGGGGTGGAGTCTACAGAGGGATCAGGCTAAAAGGAGGTCAAAGGGCTGGGCATGTGGCTCAGTTGGTAGAGTGCTTACCTAACATGCATGAAGCCCTGGGTTCCATCCTCAGCATCAAATAAATCAAGTGTGGCAGTGCATGCCTGTCATCCCAGCACTCAGGAGGTGGAGGCAGGAGGGTCAGAAGTTCAAGGTCATCCTCAACTACACAGTGAGTTTGATTGAGGTCAGCCTGAGCTACAAGACCCTGTCTTTTTTTTTTTTTTTTAAGGTCATTGGGGTGACCCTAACTCATGATCTGTCAACTTGGTCCTACTGAAAAGGAAATCCAGACTCAGCACTCTCAGAGCAAAGAGCACCCATCAGGCTGTGCGACACTGAGGTGTGGGACTGCCCCAAACAGCCAGAAGCCAGAAAAGAAGCCCAAGCTGGGTCCCTTGGGGCATCTGATGGCACCAACCTACCAAGACCCGGATCCTGCTCAAGCCTAAGGCCATAATTCTGTGTTTTGTTAAGTCACCCAATTGTGGAGCTTTGTTCTGG